CAACTGCGGCTGTCGGAACCAAGGTTTCAACAAGGCTGCTAGTCCCTGCCTCACAAGCTGGAAGTTTGATTGGAAAACAAGGAACAACTGTCAAATCTGTTCAAGAATCTTCTAATTGTATTGTTAGAGTTCTTGGAGCAGGTTTTCTTCTCAGGATTTTGTTTCTTACATTTTTTTTTCTTTTCCTTTAGAGTGAAAAATTTGTCATTTTTTCAGGATGTAGTGGTTATCTAATTGTTGGTATTGCTGGAAGACTTTTATGATCAACGTACATAAACTATTTTCAAGTGTTTATCTTAGTAGCATTTAATATTGTTCCTTGTCTGTGAATGTGTGAATTTGTGTGTGTTTCATTAAGTTGTGGGTGAATAATGTTACTGGTTCACTCAAATCAAATTATAATGTTGAGAATATGACTGTCTTGATTTCTACCCAAATTCAAGAATAAGGTTGTTAGTTCCAATGCTGATAATTTGAAGTTATTTAGGTTTGGCATCCTATGTTTGATAATCTCATACCATCATTTTGTTCAAAGGATTTCATTTGTAACTTTTTCTGCTTTTGATTGGTTATTTTATCATAATATTTGTGACATTTATATTTTTCTTTTTCTTTGTTAAATAAATGTTGCAGAAGACCTTCCAATCTTTGCTCTTCAAGATGATAGGTTTGTTGAAGTTGTGGGAGAAGCAGCTGGTGTGCACAAAGCAGTGGAACTAATTGCATGTAATCTTAGGAAGTTTTTAGTGGACCGTAGTATAATTCCATTATTTGAAATGAGTGTAAGGCTTCTATTTCTTGTTGACCTACCGGTTAACTGTGCCTCTGTTAGTTTATAGAATGTAATGAAATTATGTTACATGTTTCTACCAGATGCAAATGTCTAATCCTCAGATGGACCACATGCCACCTCATCAATCCTGGGGTCCACCTCAAGGTGTCCCTCCAAATGCTGGTGGAGGTGCTGGTTTTGGACACAATCCTCAGTACATGCCACCTCCAAGGCAACATGACAATTCCTACCCTCCTGCTGATATGCCTCCTATGGAGAAACAACCACATCTGTGTATTTCCGCCTATGGAAGAGAAGCGCCAATGGGTGCCCAAGCATCATCAAATCCGCAGACTGCACCATCAATGATCACACAGGTAATTCCATACTGCTGCTTACCTGGTGGCCCCCTTTTCTCCACCCCTCTAATTTCAATGCGACTTGAGAAAAAGATGCTTTGGAGCATGATAGACAGCTACTATTAATGTGATTCCTCGTTCTTGGTTTGGGTTGTTTAAGTCATGGGGAGGCTTGTTGAATTTTAGCATAGAATTCCATGTGGAGTAAGTTGCCTGCCTCGGCCTGAAAGGGGATGGATGGGGATGTTTTAGCAAGCCTCTCTTGTTCTTGCATTGTAGTGATCCATGCTTCCTCATCTTTTGATCTACCCATTTGTTTTTTTGCTTTGTTTTGTTTTTGGCTGTTGGTAGATTTTTGGTTGTTAGTTCAGAGATTGTTGGACTTGGCATAATTTTAATTTCAGGCTCCTGATTACAAGGTGTTTCCAATCTTTTAGGTAGTGATTAGTTTGGGGTAGTCACCCCAAAAGCCGTATAAATCTATACAAAGTGATTTTTTTTGGTCAATTACACAGTGATTAGATCACTGTGTTTGGTAAGCACTTGATGATTTTACATGATAGTGATTTTGATCTTGGATGACTGAGAGTGATCTGATTACGTACTATTTGGATGGTGATTTAATTTTCATTTAAAATGATAAAAAACTTTTATTATTGAGATGAAATGATATTTAAAATTAATAATAATCAATATTACTTATTTAATATGTGAATTAAAAGCATGCTTTCAATTAAAATTCTAATCATTTTATATTATAAAATTTTATTTTTCAAACTAATATTCATTTTAACAAGTTAAGAAATAATTTGCGTACTTTTTTAAAATTTTTTTAATGTTTTATATATAATATAATTTTTTATTTTTCTTTTATTATGATTTGAATAGATTAGTTTTGATTTGTTTTTTTACATAATTTATCTAATTAATAACTATATTTATTAATTGAACAATTTAATTATATTTTATTATAAAATAAATAAAATATTATTATATTTTATAAATTATCTTTAAATAACATTAAAATCATAACTTGTGTAACTATTGAAATATGCATGGATATTTTCGTACTTTTAAATAAAATGATATTTGAAATTCCTAGGAATTAAAAAAATAAAATAATATTTCCTTTTTAGAGATATCATATATGTTTTTTAATTTCTATGAATTAATGATTATTAATTAAATAAAATGATTTTAAATCATGAGTGATAAGATCACCTAAGTGATTACATTATCATGGTGATCTTCAAATTGATACCAAATACTATAAAGCTTTAAGTCGATTAATGGTCTTGGCTTGCTTGAACAAACCAGATCCTAAAATGTTTTCTACTTCTTTTCTCTGCAGGTCACTCAGCAAATGCAAATTCCGCTGTCTTATGCTGATGCTGTTATTGGGACAGCTGGTACAAGTATTAGCTATATTCGACGTGCTAGTGGGGCAACTGTCACCATTCAAGAAACTAGAGGTTTTCCTGGTGAAATGACGGTCGAAATAAGTGGAACTGCTTCATAAGTTCAAACTGCTCAGCAACTGATACAGGCAATGTCCTTTGCCCTGGCTTCTGAACCTTTTTGGTCATTCTTTTTCTATTTGCTAGATATTGGAAACAGTATATATGTGTTTTTTCATTGCTTATGCTTCCGATTTCCTTCTAATACTATTTCCACCTGCCTGGAGGCTTGGTCAGTGTCTCTGTAGTTTGACTACGCCACTGCTAAAAGTTACCATGGGTCCTATCTATCATGTCTATTATTGTCCTATCTAGAAAAGAAGCATTTTATAACATAGATGTTAAATTATGTGTTTTCTGACGGTTTTGACCAGTTTCAGTCTGATGCATGATCCTAGAGGGCTGCATAAGGTAAAGAGTTTTCACTAATATGATTTATGAAAGTAAAACAATGAGAGGCCCTTGTAATGATGTTTTTGAAATGTTATTTCCATGTAGCTTTCTAAGTGGAATAATTGTGCAATAGAGTTGGTATTAATCATGCTAATGTTTTCACTAGACGAGCTTCCGATTTTGTTGGGTCTGTGTGTGTGTGTGTGTGTGCATGCGAAGGCATTGTATTTTTATCAGTTGTCAAAACATTGCTTCCTTGGGGAACTATCAGTTGCAATTTATTGAGTAGAATACTATAGCTACTGCTTATTATTATCAATTGATCCGGCTGGGTTAAATACTGATATTGCATATATTATATTGCAGAATTTTATAGCTGAAGCTACAACTCCTACTCAGGCACAACCAGGTGGGGCTGCAGACCAAGCTTATAATCCTTATGCGGCTCATAGTTCTTCTGTATATGCGATGCCACCATCCAATCCGGTACATGCAGGCTATAATGGGGGCTATGGCTCTGTTTATGTTTCAAACTATGGGTACTAAGCAGGATTGTTTGAGTTTGATGTGTCTTGATGGTACAATTTCCGAACTGGTTTAAGTGTGGTTTGCTGTAGGTTGTACTCTGTTTAATGTGAGTTGTAACAAACTAAACATGTTAGATTTTGTCATGTGCAGTAGGCTAACCGAAGGGTTAAGCCAGTACAATATTTTTGGAATTTCTTTAATTCTATCTCCATCTTCCTTACCCTGATTATAATTGTTTAATTCAGGTTAGATTCTTGATTTGTGCTATAATGCTAATGTAGAATTTGCCAATGACGAACAGCAAGCATATATTGGGACTGATAATGACTCCACTAAACTAGCATCTGCAAGCATTAATTCCAACGCCATGTGCAAATCTCTCACATCACATATATTGTTTCATATAGAATACATGTACACAAGCATCAGACGTCAGGTATAAGGCGTCACTTACACCAATAAAATTACAGATTTATATTATATAGTGATTCTTCAAACCAAGATTTTATCTCGCATTCGATCCTTATCGCATTCGATCCTTTTTTCGTCTGTCTTTATTTGATGATCTCCACTTTCAACTTGGCTTCCATATATCTATGACTAATCAAGCATCGATTCGAAAGTAGACAACTTTAACTTGAAGATTAAAAGTGAATGCATGGAACATATCTAAAGAGGTTTGGACCTCTTACCTTCCATTGTCTTAAAACTCAAAGTTTCTTCAATATTGATCAAGTGTCAAAAAGGTTATACAAATTACATTTTTTTCCCAATAATGATTAGAAGTAAATGCATACTTTTATTTTTTAATAAAAAGAGATCAAAGATAATTAAAAAAAAAAAAGAAGAATTTGTAAGTATTGCATATCAAATTGTAATTTCGCGTGTGAATTTATTTTTGAAAAATATGAATGAATCATTTGAATTAAGAGATAAGTTCAAAATCACTCATTATATTTGATCAAATTTTAACTATTGAAAAAAATTATAAGTTAGTTTCAGTTAGACTTTAACTGGCAACTCATGGTATTTATTTATATTATGATTATAAGCTACCTAGGATGTGTTGAACTTGATTATTAGAATTAAGAGTCTAATACTTTACTTTAGCTTTTATAATTATTGTCAAAAGTAAGTATGTTTCAGAATTCATACGACATATGAAATGCGTTGCACCACTAATAATAGGTCAAGTGATTCTTAAAATTGTAACATTTTCTTCTTAATTACTTAATTTGTTTGTTCACTAATCCTCCCTCTGGATTTCTCCCTAAAAAGGAAAAACCTTCGCGAAAGAATGGGAATTTGAGTGAAGGTAGGCGTCCAATGGACAGGGAATCAATCCTACCATAATTGACGAATCTAGAATTTTTTTTCTGAAAGCGTATGTTTGTAACATGTATAAAAACTGTTTGACGGATTTATTAATTTTGTCAAGGGAAAGAACGTTTAGAACAAAATTTTGGGGTATCAGGAAATCCTTTTTTTCAATCTTTAAGTGTATCCATCAATACTCTACCTCAAAGGGTGGATCAGCCCCCGTTCACAAGTAATTGATACTACAACAAAAAAATGGATTCTTTTCTACAATATTGTGTTGGGTTTCCGCTTTTTATGATTCTCCATTACTTCTCAGCTGCTTTGGATATCATTTCCATCTATAAATCAGCTGAGTTTATTTCGAAGTAGCCAACTTAAACTTAACTCAAAAAACAGAAGAAACTAACATGCCGGCGAGACGCGATTCCCTCAGGCCTGGTGACCACATCTATTCTGATCGCTGTCTATACGTCTATTTTCACCATGGTATAGTCTTCTATCCATGTAATTAATTTTTTTTCTCTGTTTCCGTTTCTTTTTTTCTTTTTCACATGGGGAAGAACAACCAAGTAGTATGGTCCAACTTGAATGTCTGCGGCAACTGCCAGATGGACCTTGATTTCATTTTCAACCAACTGATAATTTGTAATCAAATCCCAACTATATATTATATATTCATTCCTCAACCCTGTTTGGGTGAAAACTGTGTGTACAATTGAGTATGGGAAAGACAGTCTGATTTATCCAAATTAATTTTAAGTTAGACGTTCATCTAAAATTTAACGATTTTGTGGATGCAGTAGGCCATAAGGGCCAAACCATATTAATTTTTGCTATGTTTTATATCTAAATTTTCTATTGTGTAAGCAAGAATCTAAATTTATTGCCTAAAATTAAAGTTCATAGCAAAATTTCTAAAATCACGAAATGTTCCTAAACATATAAATAGACATAAGGTTCCCTGATTTCATGGCTGCAGGCATATACGTAGGGAAAGCGACTGTGACCAACTCGAGAAACGAAGAAAAAGAAACAGACGACGCGGTTATTCACTTCCTGGGAGTTGGCAAATCCACCAGTAACCCCCCATGCAAAAGATGTGGTCACTGCTCTCAAAGAATTGGAGTTGTTATTACCTGCCTCGAGTGTTTCCTGGAAGGTCAGTCACTCTATGTCTATGAATATAATGTCCCTTACTTGAAGTTGCGTTTCAAGAGGAGCGGAACTTGCAGTGTTAACCCCAGCAGGCCGGCGGATCAGGTTTTGAAGACAGCATTTGGTTACCTCAAAGACCAAAACTTCGGAAAGAAATACAACTTTTTTTTTAACAATTGTGAGGACTTTGCAACACGATGTAAAACGGGGGATGCAATGAGCAATCAATTTGCTGGAACGGTTTTCGGATTTGGTTTGACGGGTGTTGTAGCTTATAAAGCTGCTAAAGGGATATATGAGGCAATCACTGAAGACTAAAAAACAAAAAAATTCAAGAAAGTGATCAGGAAATATTTAAGGACCAAAAGCTATTATATATACATATATATATATATATATCTAAAAATATATGTAATAGGCTTTTCAAGTATCAATAAATAAATTGTCACTTTGCCGGGCTCAGGGTTGCCAGTGATGTGGCTAGGGGTTTGTGGTATTTATCTTTGTACTAAAAACAACAATGAAGGAATGTATATTACATAAGGAGTTTGTTTTCACACACTGATAGCGTAATTTTTTTAATGCCGGTGCATTAATAAGGTTAAAAAATTGTCTCATTTAAATTGAGGTTCCAAATTATAAACAAATCAAAGCTCAAAACAAACATCATCTAAGGAGCATCGGATGCTTTTCGTGGTGCCCAATCTTTCAGAGTATATTAATTCAATCAAACATTCTAAACGACAACCCTAGAGGAATAATAACTGTTAACTAAAACGAGATTTGGATTATTGAAATAAGAAAAAAAACCGACTCTACTTGATTAACAGGCAGCCCATACATAAATATACTTGCATTTTAATTATATATTTAGCATATGTAAACATTCATATGTCACATTTAATTCGTCACACCCACCCGCTAATTCATATTCAGTGAAGTGATTCTTGAAAAGAAAAATTTTTTTTTTTCATAAGAAACTGTTCTTCTCACTTTATTTGATTCTCCTTCCTTTTCTTGTCTTTATGAATTCTCCAAAAATAAAAAAAAGCTTTTGAAGAAGAGTGGGGATTTTGATGAAAAAAAAAAGAAACTCTTTTTCAACGTCAAAATAAAATATTCTAACGAATTTTTAACTGTTGGTATATTTTTTGTCGGTATAAACTTAAACTGACGGTTTTTAAGATGTCAAAATAGATAGCAGAGATATACCAACAGTTGGAGACGGTCAACATATGTATTACCTTTGGTATAGTATTTGTTGTCTGTTCCACCGTAATATCTTTTACAGACGATTATCTTTCGTCGCATAGATTTATGTGTTTTATTTTTTCTAACTATAATGACGGATTATTCGATAATATATCTATTACCAATGGTCCATGCCCACCAATATATCTTTGTGTGTTTCACTTATACCATCAATATAAATGTTAAGACATCGGTAAAATTTTTTTTTAATTATATTTTAATTATTAATGTTAATGTTAAATTATTTATAATCTTAATCTGATATGGTTTCAAATAATAAAAAACAAATACACAATAAAACACAAAATATTAAATAACATTTGAAATGAAAGTATTTTAAAATCCACAAACTAATAATAAGTCAAGTTCTAAATTCATTGTACTTAAGTCTAGAAAAAAACAATCATTAAATACAAAGAACCACTGAAAGTATATAATCCTATCATAGATTTTTACAGAGAAACATCTTTATAAAATAAAAAACATAATTAAATAATTAAATTAAAAACAAAAAAATTAAAATAATTTTTAAAATGATTTGTATGAAACACTAAATAGGAAAACCAAAAATCACTTTCTTCACTACAAATTGAGTGGACATTATCCTAAAATTGGCTAAGTATATTTAGCCACAGCCCAACCTCCCTCGTGTTTTGAAAAATATAAAAACACTTATTACGTGGTTTTGGCTCAATTAAATGATTTTATGCAAGGGTGACAGTAGTTCGTATCAGATTAGATTTGGTTTTATTTTTTTAATATTATATAATATTATAAAATTTAAAATTTGATCTAAATTCGAAATAACCTTTTATATGATTTGATCTGAACTGAATCAAATTTTATCGATTTAGTTCGGTTTACTTTATCGGTTTTTGATGTTAAAATTTTTTATTTTTTATATATTATTTTAAAATAAAATTTTAATATATAATAGATTTTATATAAAATAATTATTTTTGTTTTATAAAAATTTTAAAAATATATAAATTAATAAAAATATATTATTTGGTTCATTTTAGTTTTTTCTTTTATGGTTTTTCTCTTTTCAATATGAAATTCGATCCGAATTTAATTTATACATTAATATTTAAATTTAATTTGAACCAAATAAAAAAAATCGATATAAATTGAACCAAATATTACAATTTTGAATCGATTTTCAATTTTCTCAATTTCTTTTCTCATCTTTAGTTTTATGTAGAGTTATTAGAGTATTTCACTTACAATCATAATTCGGAATTGTATAGGTCTATCAAAATTTCATGTAGAACTCATACTTATAAGTAGTGGAATCTACATAACTTTTTATTATGATTAGATAATTATAATATTATAATAAAAAAATTTTAGGTGATATGCTTCGTGAAGTCGGGATTTCAAATGTGCAAGTGCACTAACACAAAATTATTATATAAGACTTACTTTTTTCTTTAAAATTGTAAATTTGATCAGAATTGAGCTGGCAATAAGTTTTGAATTTTGTGGTCCGACCATGTTACCGAACAATAAGCAGACCTCCAAATAGGCATCTTTCTTTGCTTTGTTTGAGAGTTTTCACAAGCTATAAAAGACTCGCATTCAATTCGTGACATATTGCTTATTTTGATTCAAAATTCATAATTTTATCCCATAAATGATATCTTTAGTTTTCATCTAGCTACGTTGTAATCAGAGATAGTAGTCGTATGCCAGCAGCTGGGTATCTGTTGGTACGATATTGATTTTTTAATTTTAATGATTAAAATTCAAATTCTGACATATTTAATGTAAAAGAAAAAAAAGTAATAGTATTCTTTAATCAAGGCCTGGTTAATTAAAGATAGATGATAAATTTGGTTTAGATTAGAGGAAATTAATCAAAATCTTTGATACCAAATTGTAACAGATCAAAGGCTCAGAACAAGCATCATCAAAAGAGTTTTCAATGCTTCTCTTGGTGCTCCATCATTTCAGAGAATATTTATTCAATCCAAGATAAATTTTTTTTTATTTTTTATTTTGTGATAAGAAACTTTTCTTCTAGCCTTATTGATTCTCCATTTTATTCTCGAATTCTCTATGAATTCTCACAAAAAAAAAAAAAATCCGACTGAAGAGTCGGAATTTGATCTTTAAAAAAAAAAAAAATCTTTCTACTTCAGTTATTTCTCATCCAAATACAATAATGATGCATTCCACTACCACTTATTAATATTAAAAAAATAGGATTATTGATATTAAGCAGTTTGTTTTTTCTTTATTTTATTCTACAATTTTACGCCGTAGATTGTCTGTTTTAATTGTATGACTGCAGTAACCTTTCCATCTATATATATTTGCAGCGTTTATTACGAACGCAGAGACAATTAAAAAGGAAATAGAAGAACTGGAAGAAGGAAGATGAAACCTGTTAGAAGAGACTCGCTCGAACGAGCTGATCATATCTTTGCTCCTTGTAGCGGAGGCATATACTATCACCATGGTATATATCTATATTTTTTTTTTTATTTTTTTCAACGGGAAATTTGCATTTAATGTATTGTTTTCATCAAATTCAAGAAACAATAATGTATTAATTACATGTTTATTTCTTTTAATATGTAGCACTTGTTCAACCAGACTTGGTTTTGGGAAGATATAAATTTAATTCTTCTACCCTTTCCATTTCTTCATGTTTTTCCTAAGGTCATGTTTGTTATGAGGGAAAATAACAGGTAAAGAAACCAAATACGTTTGGTTTGAGAAAATATTGTTTGTTTTTATTTTGTATTTTCATTTTTTAGGAAATAATTTTTATTTTTTATTTTTTTTATTAAAATATATTTGATAAATGAAAATAAAAATTATTTTTTAAAAATACAAAAATAATGAAATAAATAAAATATTAAAGGATATTACTATTATTGACAAAAATAATATATATTTATTAATTAATAACGTTAAAAATTGTTCAAATATGGTAACTAGCAAAATATAAGAAAAAAACTAATATATATCCTTTATTTGTACAATAGAAAATATATAATTTTTTATTTTCCTATTTCAAACCTATTTTTTTATTCTTTAAAAATTTATTTTCATTTTCAATTATTAAACTCATTTTCATTTTTTTAATTTTTTTAAAAGAATAAAAACAGAAAATAACTCTATTTTTTGATGCCAAAGGCTCATGTTTGGTTAAGGGGAAAAGACAGGAAAATTTTAAAAAGGAAAAACAGGGTAAAATGTAGTTTTAATATCCCTGAGAAAATGCAAGGAAAATGGTAGAAAAAGGCGGAAAATTTTTCGAAGTCAGCTTATCTCTTCTTTGCTTTCACGACCATGAAACAACCACTCCACCGTGAGAGGAAGACATGGCTTTGCCGCTTTGATTGCAGGCTACTCGATGTGAAAAGAGGGAGGCGGCTCTGGACTCTGGTTGCGAAGTGGTGAACTGATGCAGAATTTTCAGATGCAGAAGATGTAATTTCTGGGTGGTTGGAAAACATAGTTGTTTCGGAATGAGTGTAGCATTTTGGGCTTTTTCTTTCTTAACTTCCTTGACTTTGTCTCCAATTTTCTTTTTACATTGACTCATATAATTAATTTTAAATGTGATATCTAAAAAGTATTTGCATTTCTTTCATGTATTTCATACCAAAAGGATTATAAGAAAAATTTTCTAACAACAATTTTTTAAGAAAATCTGATTTTTTGAGATTTAAATCTTTTGCTCTTTGACAAATATATGCATAAAAAGAAATTTTCTTCGCATTTTCTTTTGTGTTTTCCTCATAATACAAAGAAGGTAAGAAATTTTATATTTTTTCCTTTCTTTTAAAATTTCCTTGTCTTTTCCCTAACATTTTCCATAAACCAAACAGATCCTTGTTACTTTCTCAATTTTCCTTGCTTAATTTGACTCCAGGCATATATGTGGGTAAAGCCACAGTCACTAACCCGAAAAATAATGGAGAAGAACAAGAAATAGACGATGCAGTCATTCATTTCCTGGGATTTTACAAGAAAAGCAGCTGTAAACCTCAATGCAAGAGATGTTTCTACACTTCTCAAAATATGGGAGTTATCATAACCTGCCTCGATTGCTTCCTTGACGGTAGCGCAGTCTATGTCTACGACTACTACGTTTCCTACTTGACATTTACTTTTAAAAGTAGTGGCAGTTGCAGCACTTTGGCTTCTTATCCTCCTGATCGGGTTATTCAGACAGCGTTTTATTTCCTCGACAAGAACTCCTTCGGCGATTACAACTTGGTTTTTAACAACTGTGAGAGCTTTGCAACCTACTGCAAAACGGGTAGAGCCATG